GCTTGAAGATGGACTAAATGCAAACTGCTTCTTGGTGACAAGATGTCTGTAATTACACCACTGGAACTCAAGGCTAACCTGGCTAAAACACGTAGTGTAAGGTCCTTCAGCAGCTAGTAAGTGAGGCAGTAAGAAAGCGTGTGTGTGAAAAAAGGTAATTGAACTGCGGTGTTTGCATAAACTACGCATGTGTAGCAGTCATTGCAATTACATCCCACTATTCCTTAAGCTACAAGGCATTGCTGTGGGCTGCGTGTGGTTTTTTGGGGGGAGCCTGTATGGCAGTCATCTTCAGACCTCACTCTTGCTTCAGTACTTTTGCCTATTTTTCATGCACACATAACACAATAACATCGAATGCATGTTACTTTTCCTCTGCAGCTTATTGCAGTCCCTGTGGAAAAGCCTTTAAAACAATCTTGCTACAAGTGTGTAGGGTACAGAACCTGGTGATGCTCAAGCAAGTGGTGTAAGAACCATCCTGCAGGCTGGTTTCAGACTTGTGCTTGTTATTGTAAATATTTGTTTAGCTCTGAAGGGAGGCATCAAAACTGGGTCAAAAATGCATTGAATGTCCTGGGCTGGAGGCTTTCCAGGTGCGTGTAAGCCGAATGCCTCTGCCTAGTAGCAAACTCTGCACATTCTTCTTGGGTTTGCATCTCTAGACTTGTGCTTCTGTGTTCAGTGTGTTGCTATTTGAGTTAAAACCAGTGCAGTTCTCAGCACGGTGCCTGGAAATAAATCTTGAAGCACTGGCCTATGCTCCTGTGTGCTGTGACAGCAGCAAGCCAGATACTGGTGTGAGGCAACAAAAAGGCTTGCCGTGAAAGTCCCGTCTATGAATGAACTCATAAAGCTCGGGACTTACGCCACTGCCTGGATTCATGCCTCTAGCTGAGGTTACAAATTAACAGCTTTATGGAACGCGTGTTGTAATTCACAACTAAATGGAAGAAAGCCATTAGAGCTGCCTGCAAATATTTGCTAATGTAGCACAGTTAAGCTGAAAACTGTTCAACTCCTGGATGTTGGTGTAGCTGAATAAGCAACGCTGACCCTGTGTAAGGACAGGAAACCTGTCTTCAAACTCCTTTATTAAGGACATCAATGAAATGAAAGACTAATCTGGTTTGTGAGTTGTCTTACTGTCTTAAAAAGTAATTGGCATGATTGTCTCTGACTTTATTCTAAATCTTATCTCCCAGGTAAAACATCAATACCTAATTTTTGTGGTTTTAGTTTCAGGGCCTGCCTTAGACTATAGTAACACTGAGTTGTCTTGGATCGGTCTTAATAACAAGCAATATTTCACTACAGAATAAGTTTATTCTCTTGCCTTTCTGTAGGGGTGGGCTAACAGCACAATTGCACTTGCTGTGCAGCTGAGTGAAGCTGGCTAGTTTTGTCTTGTTACTGTGTGTGAAGCTTGAACAAGTTGAGTATTTGTGGGTTTAGGCTGACTGCCACACAGTTCTAGAGTGGAAAAAAGCAAGTCTTATACACATGCATTCTCTGCATTTGAACTTAAATTGCATGAGTGAATGGGTTTGGAAAGTGAAATCTTGAGGCTCAAGTGACATGTCGGATGCTATTGCAGTCTGCCGTATACAAATGCCAACTTCAGATTACTTTGCCTTAATGTTCTATTCAGGGAAACGTCTCCACGTCTGGGCATCATCTTAGCAATTGCTCCAACACCAAAAGTCTCCAGCTGACATTGTGCTAAAATCTGAGTTTGTGCCCTAAGGCTGTTGGTTTGAAGCAGTTGGAGCAAGTGAGTGAGTTACTGATGTCAAAGTAGCTCTTACCTAGTATGGCACCTTTCTTACAAAGCTTCAGCCTGGAGCGAGCTTTCAGAGTTCCACAAATCCCTCCATTAGGAGTTTTTTCAGGAAACAGACAATCTTGACTGCACCAGTACCAACATTGCTACTTGAATTGATCTTAACTTGTAAATGGTCTCCTTTTCTTGATGGGTGTTAACATACCACTAAGGCTTTTCCACTTCTCTGCCATGAAATAAGTTCTTCTTCTTGAGGAGTTTTTTTAATTGTTGGTCTCAATTCCAGGTGGATAAACTGGATGCATCAGAATCGTTGAGAAAGGAAGAGGAGCAAGCTACAGAAACACAACCTATTGTTTATGGTAATGTTTTAGTTCATGTGTTTTCAGTAGCACGTTTTGCTTTTAAATCAATGCTTTTCTAGTCACTGTTTTTTCCCAAGGATGCCCTTGGAAATGGGAACGTTGAGGCGATGTGTTCCAAAATACTTAAAGTACCACTTTAATGCTGCTAATATTGGATATGGACTGCAGGGTTTAAGATTGTCCTAGCTCATGTTAGGGAGTTACTGTAAAACAGAAATGTCTTCAGGGAAGCTGCGGGAATTCTGCTGACTGAACTCTCAGCACCCAGGAATAAAGCTGGAACTGTTCTGTCTTCCAGGTCAGCCACAGCTAATGTTGACAGCAGGACCCAGTGTCGCCGTTCCTCCACAAGCACCTTTTGGCTATGGCTACACTGCACCCCCGTACGGGCAACCACAGCCTGGCTTTGGGTACAGCATGTAAGATGCAGCACAAGCCAGTTTGGAGCTAGCTTATTTTCTTACTGAAACTCCACCGTCCCTCCCCGCTTTAACTCATAACAGGGAAAAGCAAGAGTTCTGCCTCGTGTTCTTGTAACCTTTATTTCATGAAGGACTGTTTTTTCTAGCGCAAACTATTTGAATCACTTATGTTAAATCTTTTTCACATTCCATGTCATTTAGACTTTACTTTAAAAGGGGAATAGTTCCAACGACCTTGTTCAAGTGGGCTTTTGCAGGATTGCTTATTACCATTAAGTCTATTGTGAAGATTCTGATTTGCACTCTATAGTGTTAAACTCTAATATTGAATCTTAAGTTCCTTGTATGTGAGCAGCTTACAGTATGTACTGTCTATTCTAAATGCATTTAAGTCTCACTGTATATTCGGAGAAAGCTAAAGCAAAGATACTTGTATTTGACCTTGCAAGACTGCTGACAAGAGACAACACTAATCAGCATATCCCACCCTGGTTGGATTGCATAGCTCTAAAAGAATTTAAAATGCGTACAGACAACCTTGCCTGACTTAAAATGAGTAAAAGTTTTTTTTTTCCTTTAACCTATGCAGGTTTTTCCAATTACGCATATAGAAAATGCTAGTGTCTTTTTGCTCACTCCATGTGTAACAGATGACCTTATGTTGTGCTGTATCCTGTGCTTTTGTGGGACATTCCATTCAGGAACAGAGCACCATGATTCCAATCTGTGTATTTACTAACCCTGCCCTGAGGTTTGTGTATGTTGGATATTGTGGTGTTTTAGATCACTGTTTTGAGTGTACAGAAGAGAGAATTCAAGCATATTGCTGTTCAGTTTTGTTTGTGCAATTTGAAATTACTCAATTTAAAAATAAACTACTGGACTGTGGACATGCTGCATAGTGGTAGCTTCACTTTACTGTCTTCAAAAAGGACCTTTGAACCCGAACCAAGTATTACAGTGCTAGTGGTATGGGGCATGCAGGTGCGTACGTTCAAGGGTATGAGGGGCCATTAGGAGAGCAGCAATGGAGACCAGTAGTGGTGTCTTGCACCAAAGGGGCAATACAAGAAAATATGTAATGCTTTTTCTAGAGAGATTTATGTCAGAGAGAAGAAAATAGCACTTTTCAATAGTTGGCTGCATTGTGGTCAACTACAGCATAATTGAGCAGATGATACGTTAGGATTGTAGTAGGGTGTGTCAGTTAAATTGAGATCATGTTCTAGGTATGTAAGTTGCCTTAAATGTATTTAGCTTCAAATAAAGTTGACCTAAATGTTTCTCTATGAATACTGTCATATTTGAGTGTAACTAGTATTACAGCACTAGCCATATTGGTGAGAGCTGTAGAAGCTTCTGTGTCTTGCCCAGGAGCTGTCCTCAGGGTCAGGTTCTTCCAGCTCTTAAGGCTGAATCCACTCCCTCCTGTGACCCTGCAGTTGCATGGTGGGATCCCAGCAGCTGAGCAGCACTGCACTTTCATCTGTAATGGTGGGTGTTGGCATCTGGGGGGGCTTAGCCTGCCACAGGTGGCTGTAGGCCTTTGAGAGTGGGTCGGAGCAGAAGGCTGCAGTGGGTAGCGTCATTCTTTGGGAAGTACCATGCCCAGGTAAGAGGTGCAGTATAAAACCTTCTCTGTTCTGTTTGTTACACTCTGATATTCCCCCTGGGTCTGTAAATTTGACCGATGAGAGACAAATCCTTCTGCTCTCTTCCAGCGTATTTCATAGATACTCAACTGGAAGACTTGGCTAAGAGGCTGTAAAAGAAATGTACCCAACAAAATTCTCACAAAACGGCTTTGTTTATAAAACTGCCTCAGAAAGTCCACTTAATTAGAAGTGCAGGGAACTTGCCTTTTAGTGTTGGAGCTGCAAGAGTAGAAGTTACATGAGCCACAATAAGCATGCTCTGCACTCTGGTAACATCTGTAACAGTGCTTTCTTAAGACCAAGAGGACCTGCTAATCCCAAGTAAAATGGGATTTAAGTTAGTCCCTGTATGACAAGCTGTTTACACCTTGATAAACTGAGTGTGCTGACCTGCTTGCAGCTTCCTGTGAGTGTGGCAGCTGCTTAGGCTCCTCCAGAAAGGACCCTCCAGCTGCTCCCCACAGCTCTTGACTGGCTCTTAAGGTCTGGGCTGCCAAGCTTGTTTAGCTTGATTGGTCTCACAGCAGTTGCAAGCTCTTGCATCATTTATTCCAGTAGTAAAATTCTGCCAGCAAGGAAAGTATCCTGGCCTTCTCTTTCCCACGTTAGAATGGAATACAGAAACTAAAGAAAGTCATCATTTGCTAATTTAATTCTTACAAAAACTGGTTTTTTTATTTATATTGAGCAAACATTGGGGAAAAATCCAAGACTTGCACTTTATCCCTTCATTACTGATACACATGAATGCATTCAGATGTTTTTAGCTTACAGCTTAGAAAAGTTTTAGGTGACCAGAAACTTTATCTACTACATCGGCTGGTCCTGGTCCAATACCAAGGACTGTCCGGGAGCCTGGAGCAATCTGAGTGCGACCTGCATCTTGTATTAGGCTCACAGTCAGTCCGAGGTGCTTGGCATCAGCCAGGAGCTGAATCAGAGTCTCCTCATCAGGAGCTTTGAGGACCACCTTAGGTTGCCCGCAGTACTCCCACTGCTGCAGGAGCTCAGGATTTCTTCTCTGAACTTGCTTGTAGGCAGAAACAGCAGCATGGGAACACTGTGCTGCTACTTTACCCTTTCCCATCTTCAAATCATTGCGGACAATCAGCACCATCTTGAACTCCCCGGACTCTCCCATGATGTCTGCTTCGCTCCCCATGCTGTTTGCAGATGCAATCATCCCGGTTTTGGGCTGCTTGAAAAGTCTCCCGCGAATGCCCCAGCCCAGGCACACTCCACATGCAACTCCAGCGATGATGCTGAGGAACCCGGGTTTAGAGAGAGAATCCATGACTAAATTTGGAGATTAGCTACGAAAGGAGGAGGGGAGAAAAAAAACCAGAATTTACTTGAGTGTTTTCCAGCCCGTGAGAGGGCACCTGCGGATTTGGAGACAAGATTTGTTAAAAAAAAATTATCTTGTCTTCATGCATTGGGAAAGGATGCTCAGAGCCACCTTCCTCAGCACTTCACCCCCCGCTTTCTCAGCGACAGTAAACACGCCACTGATGGCGTCAGGTGCACAACCTACCGCGGACGGGAAGCAAAACTACACGAAAAACCGCAAATTCTGTGAACGTTACACCTAAAAACGGTGAGAGAAACTGTAAAATAGTGGGGTTTCGTAAAGTTAATACCAAAAATCCGCTTTAGGGCTGCCGCCCAGGCGGGAGCGAGGGAAGGAGCTGAGCCGCCTCCCGCTCCCCCGAGGGCTGTGGCAGCTCAGGCAGCCCCGGCACTGCCAGGCCCCGCGCACCGGCGCTGGCAATCCGCAGGGGCAGCGGCCGTAATGGGAAGGCCGATACCGGGTACGTTTGAACCTGAAGGAAGAAGGAGGCAAAAAACCCCTCTCCGTTACCTGCCGCACGCCCACC